GGGGCCACAGCAGAGAGCTGGCCTGGAAGAGGGGTAACCGGGACAGAATCCGGCGCCCCGACCGGGACTAGAACCCGGTGTGCCGGCGCCGCAAGGCGGAGGATTAGCCTAGTGAGCTGCGGCGCCGGCCTCCTATTACTCTTTAGATAATATGTCATTTCAGTTTGATTTTCCTCTGAGTCGGGGACTATTTGAAAGGCAGAGTTACAGAAAGGCAGAGAGAGAGAGAGAGAGAGAGAGAGAGAGAGAGAGAGAGAGAGAAAGTCTTCCATCTGTTGGTTCACTCCCCAAATGGCCTCAATGGTTGAAGCTGTGCCAATCCAAAGTCAGCAGCCAGGAGCTTCTTCCAGGTCTCCCACGTGGGTGCAGGGGCCCAAGGACTTGGGCCATCTTCCACTGCTCTCCCAAGTCAAAGCATAGCTGGATTGGAAGTGGAGCAGCCAGGACTAGAACCGGCGCCCATATGGGATGCTGGCACTGCAGGTGGTGGCTTTATCCGCTATGCCACAGCGCCAGCTCCCTCTACCATGAATTTTCACTTCTCCACATAACCGACTCCACTTAGACCAAGTTACTTTGCCTCTTGTGGTCTGTGTCTCACCTGTAAGATGCTTCTGTGTAAGAGGGGTGTGGCCACCTGGTCCGGGGTAGGAGCCCGGGAACTTGTCTTGATGCCACCTGTTATCTGTGTATCTGGGAGGCTCTGGGTGTATTCAGGTTATGGAGAGGCAGCCAAGGGCCCCTCCCAGAGCTGAGGAAGCACAGCTCAAAGTCCTCAGCTCATCGCCCCAAGGCAAACCTGTCGCACCTGCCCACATCCCCAGTTCTGCCAGACTCGGCCCGACAGACACAGCTGATGCCTAGGACTGGTGGGCAGGGGGGCTCGGGGAAGTAGCCTGTGGGAAAGAAGCCCCCACTCGGAGGGGAGGCTGGGGGTAAGGAATATGTAGAAGGAGCTCGCAAATCTGCCCTGAAGGGCAGGAAGGTGCTCTGTCGCCGGGTTCCATTTCCAAAGCTAAACCTCTGGCCTGGCGACCAAGACGCTGGTGCAGGCGCCCACGCCCCACGTCAGAGCACCTAGATGCAGGCTCGAGCCCTGGCTCCACTCCTGACGCCAGCTTTGCGCTTACGGCACAGCCTGGGAGGCGGCGGCGGTAGCTCTGCCACCCATGTGGGAGACCTGGGCGGAGTTTCTAGCTCCTGACTCAGCCCTGATTGTTGTGGGCATTTGGAGAGTAGACCAGTGATGCAAACTGGTTTTTATGTACGAACACATCACTAGGGGGGATCCTTGACGAGTGGTTGAGAAACCACTAGGGACAGCCACATCCCATCCTAGGGCACCTGCGTTCAAATCTTGGTTCTTTTTTTTTTTTTTTTTTTTGACAGGCAGAGTGGATAGTGAGAGAGAGAGACAGAGAGAAAGGTCTTCCTTTTGCTGTTGGTTCACCCTCCAATGGCCGCCATGGCTGGCTGGCGCGCTGAACCCATGGCAGGAGCCCGATACTTCTCCTGGTCTCCCATGGGGTGCAGGGCCCAAGCACCTGGGCCATCCTCCACTGCACTCCCGGGCCACAGCAGAGAGCTGGCCTGGAAGAGGGGCAACCAGGACAGAATCCGGCGCCCCGACTGGGACTAGAACCCGGTGTGCCAGCGCCGCTAGGTGGAGGATTAGCCTAGTGAGCCGCGGCGCCGGCCCAAATCTTGGTTCTGCTTCCAATTCTGGCTTCCTGCTAGTGCACACCCGGGAGATGGCTGCCAGTGGCTCCAAGCGTTGAGTCCCTGACACCCACGTGGGAGACCTGGACTGAACTCCGGGCTCCCAGCTTCGGCCTGGCCCGGTCCTGGCTGTTGTGGGCATTTGGGGAGTGAACCAATGGGCAGAGACCTCGCTCCGTCTGTTTCTGTCCCTGCCTTCAAGTCAACCGGAACTCCCGGAGCCGCACCACCTCCCTGGGGCCTTTGTTCTTCGCTGCGGTCACGTGGGGAACACTTGGCCCAAACCAGGCTTCATCTCAGGACAAACTGAGAAGCGAAGAAACCTGGGAAGCACGTTTCATCCATCCATTCATTCATTCACTGAGATTTTTCAGCACAGTCTATCAGCTCTGGTTCGCGGGGAGATTCCCACCCCTAAGCAGTTTGTGGTTCCGAGGGAAGACAGGAGCCGTGGGCAAACAGATGAGTGGGCGGGTGCACCCGGAGGGGAGCGGTGGGAAGATCAGCTATGCAGGGGGGTGGCGGGGCTGGAGGCTGGTGGAGATGGCCGGGTGCTTCAGACTGGCTGTTCCGGAAGCATCGCTCTGAGCTTCTGAAAGCAACGGTGCACTCCCAGCAGAGGGGTGGGCCAGGGACGGTCCCCCAAAGCCAAGGTCCCCAGTGGTGACTCCCTGCCCTACACACAAGCTAATGCCTGCGCTTGCGAGTGAGTGTGTCTGGCAAGGAGCCCATGAACGTGGGGGCCTGGGTGTCACACGTGGTCTCTGTTACTGCTCAGCTCCCAGTCCCCAGGCGCAGCCCAAGCAGTCATGGACAACCCAGAAACCGACGGGCAGGGCTGTGTTCCGCCGACGCTGCTTCCCAGATCACAGCTCTGCGACCCCGAGTCCGGCTCAGAATCGAGAGAGGCAGGTGTGGGTTAGGACGGAGGCGGGAGCGAGGATCCACTGCCGCCCAGCACGGAGCGGGCAGGCGTGCCAGGGCATCGTGCCGTCTGGCAGCAGCAGGCTGGCCGCGAGGCCGGGAAGGGACCCAGCGGATGGTCACACAGGAACAGGGGGCAGCAAGCTGGCCAGCGAGGGGAGGACACACCCCGGGAGGCCCGCGCTGCACGCATCGGGAGGCGGTCCCCACTCTGCCGCCAGGGACAGAGGCAGCTGGAGACTCAGGGCGATGGGGGACTTCCACTTTGGTGTCTGCCACTCGGTGAGCAGCTGACCCAAACCAGACCTGAAGCAGCTGAAAGGACCCTCCCTGCACGCTGTGCGGTCTGCTCAGGGCCCCTCGTCCTAGCCCTGAGCTGTGTCCTCCTGCCCCGCCGCTCACCGCTCGACCCCAGCACCTCGTCCAGGACTGGGCGCCGTGAACTCTCAGTCGGGCAGGCGAAGAACAGATGACGGTGCAGAAAGAGGCCCAAAGCCCGCACGGCAGTCGCTCACTTTGACTGTTAGGTGAGAATCCTTGCCACGTGAGGTCATGGGCATGCGTAAACGCCACACTGTGGGAATTACGGGGCCAGGCCGGGGAGGCCCGGGGTCACAGCAGCGTCACTGTATACACATCCAGGGCACTCACTACCAAAGCCACCTTCGGCTTCTCCTTTAAGATTATTTATTTAAAGGCAGAGTTACACAGAGAGAGAATCTTCCATCCGCTGGTTCACTCCCCCAAAGGCTGCAGTGGCCTGGGCTGGGCCAGGCGGAAACCAGAGTCTGGAACTCCATCCAAGTGTCCCACACGGGTCAGGGGTCCTAGCACTTGGAGCTGCCAGGGCTCAGCAGGTGCTCCCAGGAGATGCTGGTATCACATGTGGCGGCGTGACCTGCTACCATACTGCCCACAATACTGGGCCCCCAGAGCCTTGTCTTGAAGACCAGCTCCCAAGAAACGAAACTCAGAGCCACACAGGAGGCCTGCATTGAGTTGTGGGTCTCTGGCTTTGGCCTGGCCCAACCCTGGCTGTTGCAGGCATCTGGCAGGTGAACCAGCGGAGGGAAGCTGTCTTCCAAGTAAAAAATGAAAATAAACACAAATTTTAAAATGCTGTGAGTAGGCAAGATGCGCCCACACCAGCAACCAGCTCCGCTGAACCCCAGGGCGGGCGAGTCACAGATGGGACCGCCGACCTCACCGCTACCCTGGCTCCACGCCTGTCTGCCCAGGAGCAGGCACACCCAGGGCACCTGCTTCCTCCTGTTTTTCTTTTTAAATCTCATCACCTGCTGGGACTTCTGGAATATTCCCTGGTCTCCTGTGCTGATCACGATCTCCCTCTGCTGGGTGCTGAAAACCCAGAGCCTACTTGCGCCTCCCCTGCTTCCTCCAGGCCCCACCTCCCCTCACCCCTACACATAAACTGCGAGATGCCCCTCGCTGAGGCTTTTTGGGCCCATTCTGCAGCGGCTCCCGCCCCACTGGGCAGCAAAATTGTCCTTGCCCCGCGCCCGGCACCATCTCCACTGCTAAGCTGGTGCCTTCCCCACCCCGGTGCCTCCCCCTGCCCTGCCCCGCCCGGGGAAACTCATCCCTGCCTGGGTCTGCACTCATCTCCCACACCTGGGGCCGTGGGAGAGGACACAGGCACCTGCTTGTCCACCACCTTCACCATGGTCAGCCCGGTCTGATTCCAGCGCCCCCAGCTCACAGAGCAGCCAGCGTTGGAGGTGGAACTGCCCAGGCCCGGGGTGTGGTCCCCACACGGCCCATCTCTCCTCCAGCCCCGCCCCGCACTCAGCTGCCCCCCCCCAACTTCTTTTACAAATGCTGTCTGGTCTCTATGGCAGTCCCACCTGCTCCAAGGTCTCCATCCAGTGCTCCACTCAAGACCCACACTTCTCCCCTGGGCCCTCAAGGCCCCGCCCCCTCTGCCAGCCCCTTGGCCCTCAGCCCCATCACCCACCCCGGGTACCTTCCCTCATCCCCCGCTCCGCCTGCCGCCGGTGGGCAACATGAAGCCACCGGCCTGGCTCCCTTGGCCCATCATCTTGTCCCCAGCATCTGGACACTTTGACCAGCAAACAGCGTGCAAGGCAAAAGTTCTGGTCTTGGAGCAAACTGGGAACCTGGCCCCCGCAGAGCCTCCCTGTCCTCTCCCCGCCCCCTCCTCCCCATGCATCATCTACGGGTGAGCGGCGAGCGGCTCTGGACAGCACAGTGGGGTGGGCAGTATTCATGTCCGGGACCCCGGGGGTCAGCCGAGCTACCAGGATCTGGACTCCCAGGAGACAGGGAAGGCCGGGGAAGCCACACTGCCCGAGACAAAGAGAGCCGAGCACCGAGGCTTGGTTCTTGAGTATGTATTTTTTACTGAAAAAATCATTCATAAATTAACATACAAAAATGTACAAACACATGGGTAAATAAATGTAATGACAAAGGACTATTTTTGTGAAAAGTGTTTTTTTTTTTTAAAACATCTTTAGATTTCAGTGCAAAAATGTACCCCTGGCACCTCTTAAAACGCGAGAGCAAGCTCAGAACAACGCAGCGACGGGGGCGCTCGGCTCGGCTGCTCCCCCCGCCCGACAGAGACCTGCCGGCCTGCGAGGGGGAGCCCCTCCCCGCACACAGCAACCAGACTGACCAGGGCCGCCCAGCGGTAGCCTTGAGGGGCTGCTGCTTTTTCGGGTGAGAAGTGCGGGCTCCGGGCAGCACACAGTGCCTGGCTGCGTGCCCTTCCCTCCCACGACCCACGCAGCATTCAGCGTGGGGACACAGGACTCACGGGGCACACAGAGACACGCCACCCCGGCAAAGCCAACGGGGCCCCGCCTGCCACCCTCACACCAGCGTGGCTTGTACGCCGTGGGGGCTGTGCTGCCACGGAGCTCCAGACGAGGTCACTCTGGAAGACCCTGCTCTACACACACACACACACACACACACATGTGCATATTCACACACGCACACACATACAAGTGCACAATGCATTCATGCACACATACACTCACACATTCACACACGTGTGCAAAGTGCAGGCATGTGCGTGCACATATGCACACGCGTGCAAGCACACACATAAACATGCATGTGCACACACACAGACACACACACAGACACATTCACACACACAGCAGCCCAGACCAGACTGGGGCTGTGCGGGCTGATCCTTCCCAGTGACCCGGCTGCGAGCGACTCGTGGCCATCAGCGGCCCAAGCGGTGAGTGAGCAGGACAGGGCGCACCAAGGCTGGCACAGGGCGGGGGCGGGGCCTTTACTGCTCTGTGCACCTAAGACAGGAACGGCGACTGGACTTGCGCGCGTCATGTCCCCTTGCCAGGGCTTCAAAGCCTGAAGTGCCTCAGCCGCTGTTCAACGTGGGCTCCGACTTACCAGCGCGCTCAAGGGCAGGCGCCTGCTCTCTCATCCGAGCCGGTAAGAGCGTTACAGAGCAGTTCATTTCCTAAACGCCACTCTACTCTTCACAAGAACGAGAACGTGAGCGAAAACAAAACCAAGGCCTGGCCAATCACTCCCACAGCGTGTGGGGATCATATGTCCACGGTCCCGACACATGCAACGGAGAAAACCCCAACCCACACGCACACACACACACACACACACGCACAGGAGCCCTGCACACACACCTATGTAAACCATGAAAAGTAAGGAAGTTGAAGGCAAACAAGGCAATTAAAAAAAATAGGCAGTCCTCTTGAGAAACCGCTCCGGATCATAAAATCTACACACGCTTCACAGGGGAGGGAGACTGGCACGTCCCAAAATTCTGCAGTTCCTCGGGGACTACGATTTTAAGGGCTTTGGCTCAGGGCAAAACAGAGGCACAAATTCAAACACAATTTAGAATCCGACTTCCAGAAGCCCGCCCTGGGCGGGGGTGGGGCTGTGGGCTGTGTGTTCTGGGGCTTTGTTGGTCTAATTTAATAGCTTTGATTCGGGCTCACCTGAGTCCCACGTGACCCGCGACACACAGGCGGCACCTGCTCCCTGGACGAATCCTCCTGGGTTCACCTGCTCCGCAGTTAACAATGGGGACAAAGGAACGCCCCCAGAAACCAGTGCGAGAAGAGCAGCTGGTGACCCAGGCACAGCCCCCGGGAGACCCTGGCCAAGTTCCCCACGAGGAAGGGCAGAATCGCAGTCCTGAGCCGGGGCTGTGTGTAGCGAGCCCCTGGGGGAGTGGCAGGTGGGGGGCTGGGGTGAGAGCGTGCGGGGGCAGAGCCAGCCAGGGCCGGGGCCACCCCGCTGCCTCCTGGCCCGGTGTCTGGGAGGTGATATCCTTCAGCTGTGTCTCAGCCGAGTTCCTGCATCTGCCAACCAAAGACGTGACCTCGTGTATAAATCCTCACTTTTTCAATGGGAGCCAGCTATAAAATTAAATTTTAAAAAGGCATTTTACATGGCTTATTTACAATTACACTTCTTCAAGAAGTGATTGTTATATATTTATGTCTATTTATCTTCCCCAGACCCCTCCCCGCCACCCTCAACCCCCACCCAAAGCAGGTAATTTAAAAAAACAAACAAACAGAAAAAACTGAACCCAAAGAGAAGACCAGAGACGTGGAGGCTGCTGTGCGGGTTCCGCCAGCCCCTCCTGACCTGCGCCTGCCCTGTGCGGGGCTGCCCCTTTGCTCCCAAGGCCGAGCGGCTCTGAAGGTCCCTGGGCGGGCAGGACCCGGCAGCTCGCCGGTCGTGGTCGTCACGGGCTCTGCAGGCCGTGGCTGAGACAGGACGCAGGGGGAGCCGGTGGGGGCGGGGAGCAGCAGGACACACGCCCATCGTCCATCGGGCGGGGACAGGAAGCCGGTGCCGACGAGGGGTCCCCGTCCCAGCGGGTCAGGACACGGGAGGCGTTTGTGTGTGTGCTCGGTCACGCGCTCTCCTGGACCCCATGAGCCCGCGTGACGCACGGCTTCTGCTCTCTTCCTGGGCAGAGCCCGGAACGTGCCATCAGGCGGCTTCGGCGGTGGCGGTGGGGGCAAACGTGTCGTCTCCTCCTCTCAGTACTCGTTCACCTGAGCCAGCTCGGGTGTCAAGTTGACGGTTATGTTCTTGTACAAGGCGTCGTACGTGACGTTTGCAAAGTAGTTCAGGTTGTTGAGGCCGTCCAGCCCCTGCCGCTCTTTGGACTTCCTCAGCAGCGCGTACCTGGGTGGGCGGAGAACAGGGAGGCGGCTGGCAGCGAGCCGCGGGCGGCCCCCAGGACCGGGCACAGGCAGGTGTCGGGCCGTCCACGGGGCTGCCACGACCAGAGACACCTGCTGCGTGCCAGGCGCTTTGCTTGCTAACCCCCCTTTTTTTTTTTTTTGACAGGCAGAGTGGACAGTGAGAGAGAGAGACAGAGAGAAAGGTCTTCCTTTGCCGTTGGTTCACCCTCCAATGGCCGCCGCGGCCGGCGCGCTGCGGCCGGTGCACCGCGCTGATCCGATGGCAGGAGCCAGGTACCTATCCTGGTCTCCCATGGGGTGCAGGGCCCAAGCACTTGGGCCATCCTCCACTGCACTCCCTGGCCACAGCAGAGAGCTGGCCTGGAAGAGGGGCAACCGGGACAGAATCCGGCGCCCCGACCGGGACTAGAACCCAGTGTGCCGGCGCCGCAAGGCAGAAGATTAGCCTAGAGAGCCACGGCACCGGCCTTGATACGCTCTTTAATGTTCATCCAGCCCCCACACCAATGAAGGAACCACGGCTTGGGAAAGCTGGGTGACTCTCGCCCAGTGTCAGGGGAAGTGGGAGGCGAGACAGGAAAAACCCATCAGAGGAGACAGTCACAGTCTCGGTCAGGGCCTCCGGCTTCCTAAGAAACAGAGCCCGAGCAGTGAGGACTGGCGACCCGGGCACAGTCCTCCCCATGACTCATGGAAGCCAGACATAAAGCCACTCCCGAGCTTGCAGACGGCCCTCTGCCCCATGGCGGATTTACTGAGATGAGAGGCTGGGACAGCACCTGCCGGCACAGGCAGAGCTCTGGACACCTGCCCAGGTCGGCAACTGCAGAGGTGCAGCTCTGCTGGGGCCCTCGGCCTCGCCGGGCGCGGCTTCTCTAACTGCCTGGAGCTGCGGTGGAGGCCGCGAACACTCAGGAAGGGGCCGAGGGATTTCCTGGAAAGATGTGGCTGTGGAAATCCCCAGGGCCTCACCACCACCCCCACAGCTGCCGCCCAGCTCCAGGAGGGGACGCGGGGCAGGAGGCCGAGCAGCAGGACGGGCTCGACCGCACGCACCTTCCCAGAAACTGGACTTCTCCGCGGTGGTGGTGTGGAATGGACTTGTACTTGCCCGTGTCCCCTTCCGGCCGGCTCACGGAGTAGCCTGCGTTCTGTACCCTGTGCAGGAGCAAGAGAGGCAACCGTCATATCCCGGCGGGTCGGTGAGCGTGGCGGGCAGTGGCGGGCACACGCGCCCTGGGGCCGGCTCACTGATTCCCACCACTTGTGCACCCTTCTCTGCTGCAGCCCGCGAGAGAGCGAGTCAGCACTGTCAGGCGGGGTCCCTGACTCGGGCTGGACGCGTGTCTCCGCCCCACCCTGGCCTTGGCGGCGGGGGGCTGACTTACACTGCGCTCCCTGCTCTGCACACACAACCTTTACCAGGCACAAAGTCCCCGTGTAGGAAACGGAAGGGAGAGGAGGGAGAGATGGCCACTGACCCTTCAAGAGATAGGACGGAAGTTTCGACAGGTGCTTTACAGGGTAGTGTGTGTGTGTGTGTGTGTGTGTGCGGCGCGACTCCAAAACACAGCTGATGCAGGAGGGCAGGTGGCATATGCGTGTGAGATTCACGGTCATTTTCTTATCTTAAATCTGTGGGCGGCCGGCCCCCTGATGCCACTCTCAGTTTTGACATAGGACGATGTGTTTTCTCTCAACTCGGACAAAACAGATACGGAACGCCTCCTGTGTGCCCAGAGCCGTGTCTGAGCCGGAGTGCTGACCCAGAGGGCAGGACGAGAGCCAGCCTGGGCCAGTGCAGCTGCACCCAAGGACCAGTCGAACCAGTTCACTTGGTCAGGAAAACAGGATCACTCTCACTGGGTTTCTGCGGAGCCCAAGTGAAAAGGCCGAGATGTCACTGTCACACGTTAGACTGGCCACAGTGTCCAAGGCTGTTCCCCGGTCACACACGGTGTCCAAGGCTGTTCCCCGGTCACACAGGTGTCCAAGGCTGTTCCCCGGTCACACAGGTGGGGAAAAAGGGCAGCACCGACACACTGCTGCTCAGCTGCTTTTGTGGGGGGGAATTTGTCAAAAACAATCTGGATTTTAAAAGTATATACAGTCCTTGACTTTGCTTAAAGATTTGCACATGTGAGCAAAGGATGTTCAAATTACAGGGACCGGTGCTGTGGCGGAGCAGGTAAAGCCGCCACCTGCAGTATTTGCATCCCATATGGGCGCTGGTTCGAGTCCCAGCTGCCCCACTCCTGATCCAGCTCCCTGCTGTGGCCTGGGAAAGCAGTAGAAGATAGTCCAAGTCCTTGGGCCCCTGCGTCTGCGTGGGAGACCTAGAGGAAGTTCCCGGCTCCTGGCTTCAGATCGGTGCAGCTCTGGCCATTGCAGCCAATTGGGGAGTGAACCAGTGGATGGAAGACCTCTCTCTCTGTGTAACTCTTTCAAATAAATAAATAAATCTTTAAAAAAAAAAAAAAGTATTATCAATGTGCTACTAAAACTAGCCTCACCTCTTGTTTCCTTTTAACCTTTCCCAGTGTGGGTGCAGCGGCTTGCGCTGTGCCCCTGGGGTCAGTGCAGGGGGCAGGGGGGATAAGCTGGGGACTGACAGCAGGGGTGGGGGGGTAGGGGTGGGAGTGGGGAGGGGGAGGGGCATCGGGAGAGGGTGTACCTGTTCCAGAGGTCGTCGTCCTCTCCACCCCAGCCCCAGAACGCGTTGGGGAAGCCGTTGATTTTCCGGAACTGGTCCACTGTTAAGCCACTCACTCCGCCAAAAAACTCGGTGTAAGGAAGCCTAACACAAGACAGGGAGCGTGGATCACCCATGTGGGCACGGGCGGCCGTGTTCTGGAACAGGACCTCACCAGCCGTGCTGCCGACTCCCGACACCCAGTGCCGGGTAACTCGCCCATTTCTAATGCACAACCACAATCAACATCAGGACGCTTCTTAGCGCCCCTAAAAGCCCGTCACCACTCCCCCAGCCGGCGCCCCTCCCCCGGCCCCTGGCCCTAAGCAGCCACTGATCTACCCTCTCTCTCTGTAGACACGTCACACATCTGGATCACGTGTGACGGTCCATGCAGGCTTCCTGCTCAGCACACCGGGTTTTCAGGGTCCACGTGGTGTGCTGTGGGACGCGAGTGTCCTTTCTAACTCCGTGGCGCCACGTGGCTCCCACTGTACAGACAGGCTACGTTTTGTGTGTCTCTTCCCCGCCCATGGACACTGCGTGGCCACTGACCGTCACCATCTCTGTACCCTTCATTCTTCCTCTAGAGTTGACCTCTCTCATTAAGGAGAGGAGAGGAGAGGAGAGGAGAGGGGAGGAGAGGGGAGGAGAGGGGAGGGGAGGGGAGGAGAGGAGAGGAGAGGACAGGACACTCACAGGTACATGTACTTATCCAGTTTGGTCGCAAAGTGCCTCGGCATCTGGCCGCATCCGTAGTAGTTGCGGTCGCTCTCTGGTATGTGATCCACGTCGTGAAAAATCAGACAGTCCCAGTCCATGTCCTTCATTGCTTCTTGAAACCCGACGTTGAAAAGCATGGCTCGGTTAAAGGGCTGGGTGCCAACCTAAAAGAAATACAGCTTTATTTATCTGAAAGGCAGAGCTACTGGGCTGGCAGAGGATGGAGTGAGGTGGGGGATCTTCCATCTGCTGGTTCACAAACAGCCGCAATAGCTGGGGCTGGGCCAGGCCAAAGCCAGGAGCTTCATCCGGGTCTTGAACATAGGAGGCAGGGGCCCAACTACTTGGGCCATCCCCTGCTGCCTTCCCAGGCACATTAACAGGAAGCTGGATCAGAAGTGGAGCACCCTGGACTTGAACTTGGGCCCATATGGGATGCCAGTGTCAGAGGTGGCCACTTAACCTGCTGCGTCACCACCAGAGCCTAGAACTTTATTTTTAAAAGGACTGGAAGCAAAATCTTCAGTGCCTTTGACCTGCCTAAAGAGCCTACCAGAACCTACGGAGATCCCTGGGTTTAACCATGTGACCAGGTACAGCAGCGCTCATCAGGCACACGGTGACCCGAGCAGTCGCCCGGCCTCTGGCCTTGACTGCTCTAGAACTAAGCGTGATCACGCCCAAGCTCCTCTCTCCCAAGGCTCTGAAAGCACAGAGACAACCAAACAGCAGATGAGACCCCGGGCAGGCATTTGGCCTGGTGTTGATGCCCACCCCCCACACCAGTGCCTGGGCTCGACTCCAGGCTCCTGACTCCACGTTCCTGCTAACGCAGACCCTGGGAGGCAGCAGAGATGGCTCACGTAGCTGGGTTCCGGGACTGAGGCATTTGGGGAGTGCGCCAGCAGACGGAAGCACTGTCCCTCTTCTCCATCCTCTCTGCTTCTCAAAAATAAATCAATGTTATGGGGCTGGCATTGTAGCGCAGTGGGTTAAGCCACCATCTGCAATGCAGGCACCCGCATGGGCACTGGTGTGAGTTCTGGCTGTTCCACTTCCCATCCAGCTCCATGCGAATGCACCTGGGAAAGCAGTGGAAGACGATCCAGGTCCCTGGGCCCCGGCCACGCATGTGGGAGACCCGGATGGGGTTCCAGGCTAGTGGCTTCTGTCTGCCCAGCCCTGGCTGTTGTGGTCATCTGAAGACTGAACCAAGCCGGCGCCGCGGCTCACTAGGCTAATCCTCCGCCTAGCGGCGCCGGCACACCAGGTTCTAGTCCCGGTTGGGGCGCCGGATTCTGTCCCGGTTACCCCTCTTCCAGGCCAGCTCTCTGCTGTGGCCCGGGAGTGCAGTGGAGGATGGCCCAGGTGCTTGGGCCCTGCACCCCATGGGAGACCAGGAAAAGCACCTGGCTCCTGCCATTGGACCAGCGCGGTGCGCCGGCCGCAGCGCGCCGGCCGCAGCGGCCATTGGAGGGTGAACCAACGGCAAAAAGGAAGACCTTTCTCTCTGTCTCTCTCTCTCACTGTCCACTCTGCCTGTCAAAAAAAAAAAAAAAAAAGACTGAACCAGAGGATGAAAGATCTCTCTCTCTCTCCCCCTGCTCTGTAACTCTGCCTTTCAGATAAATAAAATAGATCTTTAAAAAATGTAAATTTTGGAAGTAAAAGATAAGCACACCCAGCTCCACCAAGGGACAGGCGGCAGCACCACAGCCATCTGCTTGTCGCCACGCTGCCGAGCCGCCAAGCACGCTCTCCCCATCTCCATTCTGTTTCCAAACCAAGTCAAGCAAGGAGAGAGGTTTCTGTTCCCTTTGAAGGAGCAACTAAGACAGGGACGCGTGCCCACCGCCAGGGAGCTGGGCAACCGTGGGGACACCAGCTCCAATCAGTCACAGCCAAGTTAACGTGAATGTTGGCGCCGACACCCTCCCAACCTGGGTCAACCCAGGGAGCCGCTGGCTCTGCTATGTCACCGATCGGAAAGACGTGTTCGCCCACATTTCAGTAAGACAGAAACAGAAGATCCCAGACCCCAGATCCCTCCCCCTTCCCTTCTGAGACAGGGGTGCTGAGCCCTTGCCCTCAGTCCTGCAGAAGGCGAGCCACGCTGTGCCCACAGGGGCGGCTCAGGCAGCGAGTCTCGGGGCTCACAGGCAGGGCTGCTGGCCAGAGTCCTCAAGGCTGAGAACCAATGCACCCAGGGGAATCGGCCGCAGGGCCCTGGTTGCAGGATGGGGCACTGAGAGCCAGGCCAACTGCACACTCACGTTCCATCCAAAGGCAAATGAAAAAGTTTTATGCGGAACCAAAAAAAAGCGACCCTCATGTGGGTTCCATTTCCAACCTGATACTTGTAGGATGAAAACAAAGCCCGACCCCAGGGTTTAACGGAAGCCTGCGAACACCCCAGGCCCAGGGTTAATCAATGGCAGATGAGATGAGATCCCCTGGTGCCAAGGCCATGTCCTCTGGACCTGTTCGTGTCTCCTTGTCTCCAGGGGTATTTCCAGGGTCTGGAGCCTGAAGACACCACCGAGGCGGCCACCAGAGAAACCCGCATGCATCAGTAAACACAGCTCCACTCTGGGCTCAGATCTGCTGTGCTGGGCAAACTCCGGCCCCAGGTGCGCAGAGCTGGGGGATTCCAGCTCTCCTGGCTCCTTGCACGGAGAACGGGTTTGTTTGCAAGCTCCCAACTGCTGTCTCAGAGGAGAAAGAAGAAGAGAGAAACCAGGGCAGACCACTCACTTGCTCGACCACGTAAAATGCAAACTGCAGGCGCTGGCGTTGAAGCATGGGGATGAGGTGTCGGAGCAGGACGGGGAGGTGCTCGTGGCGGTTCCGGAAGGGGATGAGGATCGCCACCTGCAGCGGCCACAGCAGAAGAAGCCACCGATGGGCTTGGGCCCAGAACTCGCGCTCGACGGCAAAACCCCCTGCAGTCAGGGCCCAACCCCCGGGGACCTGTGGGAGGCTGCTGCCTCTTCTCAACTTCTTCTAAGTAAAGACGGTTGGCAAGTCACCTCTGGGGACCACACGGACCCCACTCAACATGCACTGTGCCTTGTGCCCGGTAGGGCTGCTGCGTGGGTGCAGCCTAGACCACACTCACGGGAGGACACACACGCTACGCTGCGACTACAACTGCAGATAAGCAAACACAAGCTTTCTGTTCTGTGCGCCTGCGTGTAGCATAGTACCACGCAGGTACACTCACACCCACCCACCATCCACACGGCTAACGCTGGTCAGGAAGCCGACCGTCCACGCCTGTGATGGACAGGAAGCCCTGACCTGCCGATCGAGTTGATCACTGCAGAGCCAGCACTTCATTAAACACTTGTTGAGGGAATGGATGGTGTCCTAAGCTTGATGCTGCTGATTGCACTCCTCTCCTGGTTACAGCCATGCAGAAAACCACCAAACCCACCTCTGCCATCAGCCCGACACCTGCGCCTTTTACTGCAGCAGACTGCAGAGAGGAGGCGTGCACTGGCGCTCTGGCCACGGTGTCGCCACAGAGCCCGAGCCCGCCATGCCCCGGCTTTGCTGCTACTCCCGTTAGGCAGAAACTAGGGTCCGGTGCCGTCATCAGAATGCCACGCATTTCTGCGGCTATGACAGAGTCCTTGGGGAAATGCAAATGCCTTCCGAGGGGTGGTGGGGCGACCCTCTGACCGTCACGGGAAGCAGGTCCCGGGGGGCTGCCCCACACGCGGTGGGTGGGGTGGGGGGCGTCAGGCCCTACCTTCCACCGAGGCATGCAGTCAGACGGCTTCCAGTGGCCCCCGAGCTTGATGGCCGGGTCTCTGGAGAAGATCTCGTGGATGGCGTCCATCCCGATTTCACTCATGTTGATGTCTATCGGGCCCTCTGAACAGAGAGGGGAAGGGAATGGATTAAGAGGCCAGAAAACGACCGACCCAGACTTCCTACGTCCGCTTCCGCTCTCTGGGAAGGTCCAGCGCTCTTTCAGCGGACTGTCTGTGATGGCGACGTGCATATCTTCTCTGCTTTCTACTTCCCTGCGTCTAAGTTCGTCACTAGGATTTGGGTAAAGGAGCAAACCAAGGAAGGTTGATTTCAAGGTCTGTTTCAGCCAAGGCTGTAGAAGAAAATTAAGAGTTCAAGTAAAACAGCAGGTGCCAAGTACTTGGAGCCATGTCAGCTCGCTCCTGAAGCCAAGCAGACCCCCACTGTCTCATTCATGAGTGAGTGGGGGGCCCTGGCTGCTCAGAGCCAGAGTCAGAAGTCGGACTTAGGTCAAGAAGCAGATGGGGCCGGCGCTGTGGCTCAGTAGGTTAAGCCGCTGCTTGCAATGCCAGCATCCCACATTGCAGCACTGGTTCAAGTCTGGGCTGCTCCACTTCTGATCCAATTCCCTGCTAGTGGCCTGGGAAGGAAGCAGATGATGGTCCACATGTTTGGGCCCCTGCCACCCGCATGGAAGACCTGGATGGAGTTCCTGGTTCCTGGCTTCAGCCTGAGCCAGCCCTGACTACTGCAGGCATTAGGAGAGTGAGCCAACGGATGGCAGATCTCTCTCTCTCTCTCTCTCCCTCTTTCTCTGATACTCTGCTTTCAAATAAAGAAACCTCTGAAAAATTAAAAATAAATGACTTCATTAACTAAGTCACCGTTTCAGTGTGAGCAATGAAGGTGATTTTCTTTATAGATTTATTTTGAAAGAGTTACAAAATGGAAGAGACAGAGAAAGCTCTTCAGTCCGCTGGTTTACTCCTCAGATGGCCACAACAGCCAGCACCGGGCCAGGCCGAAGCTAGAAGCTTCTTCCAGGTCTCCCACGTGAGTGCAGGGCCCAAACACTTGGGCCACTCTCCACTGCTTTCCCAGACACATTAGAAGGGAGCTGAATTGGAAAAGGAGCAGCCTGGACACGAACCGGTGCCCTTCTGGGATGCCCGTGTTGCAGGTGGCGGCTCTACCCCACTGTGCCATAACACCAGCCCCAGATAATTTTCCTAAAAATATTAAAAAAAAAACAAAAACAAAAACAAAAAATCAGCAGACCATGAGCAACCAACCAGTAAATGCTGGCCCAAGAATGACTGGACATCAGGGTTAGGTCTGTCAAAGGCCTCGTTCCAATCCACAGTCTTGGCTTTCCCATAAGCTTGAGTGTAGACGCAGGCACACAGATTTAAAGTGACCCGCGTACATGTGGTCAGACATGCAAACCAGACGGCAAGGCTTCCCACACAATCTATGCACCCATAATTAATTATTCATGTATGGGTGAGAGCAGGCTTAGATACTGTGCCTGTATCCAACATGTCCTCTACGCCTCAGTGTAAGTAATGTCTGCAAAGCTAAGGTTTCCCTTTGCTCGCTTTCCCCCCCTCCCGCTAATCTAAAAAAAAAAAAAAAAAAAAAAGGCAGAACCACCCAGGAAGCCCCAAAGTACAGAGAATCGCATCATTATTTTAACACACACATGAGATTCTGAAAAGCGAGCCCAGGTTTTTATTTTAAGCTGGACTCTGTTAAGAAAGTTCGTTCCCCAGCATCGAGCTACAGTCGGAGGGAGGTTTATACTAACAAGACCGGCCGCCGACGTGGTCTGGGGGACATTTTAACAGACCCCAAGTTAGAAGGAGGGGTGTGCGTCAAGGGAAAGAGAGCCAAGGTGGGAGGTGACCCCAGCGGCACAGGCCGGCGGGCCGGGGACAGCCCAGCCGGGCTCCCCTCCAGAGGCGGGGCTGTTCCGGCACACGGGGAGGGCGGCTGGGGCTCTACTCACTCATGGAAGGGAGCCTCTCGGGGCAGGTGTGGTTTGCAAAGTAGGTGAAGTCCTCGGGAAGAAACGTGGTGGTTTGCAGGAAGGTTTCGCTGTGGTTCAAGTCCAGAGGATAATCTGGAGGGGAAGGAAGACGGCAGCTGAGACGGGGACACATCCGCAGCCCGGGGCTGGGGGACGCTGGCCTCAGACACCCCTTCTGCATCGTCGTCTGGATGGCGCCAGGGCTCCTGGACCAGCTCTGACCACAGCGAAAACCCTGAGCCCGTGGGGGGGCGCACGTGGGGCTGCGGGGATGCCACTGCTGGGAGCGCCCGCAGCCCGTATCGGAGGGTCTGCATTCGAGTCCTGCCCCTGCTTCTGGTCCAGACGGAGGCTTGAGGACTTGGGCCACCACCACCCACACGGGAGACCAAGATGGGACTCCTGGGTCCTGGCTTCAGCCTGACCCAGTGCAGCTGCTGTGGGCACCTGGGGAGTAAACCAGTGGGTGGACGCCCTCTCTGTCTCTCTCCCCCGCCCCGCCCCCACACCCCAGTGCTCCGCCTTTCAAATAAAAAAAGTTTTAAAAATAACTTTCAAAAATTGAAGATTAAAAAAACCGAACTCATCAATGAAACCGTGACCGATGACGCGGCTGGCACGCAGCCTCAGTCAAGTGCACGGACGTAAGCGAGAGCCCCTCATCCACTAAAGGACTCTTCAGCATCGGCCGCTGTTTCCACCTCAGGTCTGACCTCCCGCCACAGGAAGCCGGGCGGTGGGGGTGGGGGTCGCTGCGCCCCTTCCTCTCCCCTCCCCCAGCACAGCTGTGCAGGCACAGCACAGACTACAGCGGCTCAGGATGCTGCTGCTCCGAGTGTCAGCGCTAGCTGAGACGTGGGAAGTCACAGGCCTGGCAAGTAGCGTTTTCCTGCCGGCTTGGCTGCGCCCACCGCCCGGAAGGGTCGCTGAGGCAACCCCACGCCCTCCCCGCCGCACTTCCTCCCAGACACTAGGTGCTGTCCCCACAGGGTGCTGAGCCCCAGTCCTCCTGAACTCACCCTCCAGCCAGCCCATGAAGGAGGACCAGAAGTACACGACTTCAAAACCTTTAGGTGATATCAGCTTGAAATATTTTTATTTACTTGCTTTCATTTTATTTGAAGGATAGAGGGGCCAGTGCTGTGGCAGAGCAGATAAAGCCTGTGGTGCCGGCAACCCATATGGGCGCCAGTTCGAGTCCCAGCTGCTCCACTTCCGATCCAGCTCTCTGCTATGGCCTGGGAAAGCAGTGGAAGATGGCCCAAGTGCTTGGGCCCCTGCACCCGCATGGGAGACCTGGAAGAAGCTCCTGGCTCCGGATCAGCGCAGTTCCAGCCGTTGAGGCCAACTGGGGAGTGAACCAGTAGATGGCAGACCTCTCTCTCTCTCTCTCTCTCTGCCTCTCCTTCTCTCTCTGTGTAACTATTTCAAATAAATAAATAAATAAATATTTAAAAAAGAAAACATTAAAAAGATACAGAGCACTTCCATCTGCTGGCTTATTCCACAAAAGGCTGCTACGACCAGGGCTGGGTCAGCCTGAAGCCAGGAGGACCAGGCACTCCATCTGAGTCTCCCAAGAGGGGGCAGGGACTGAGCCCCCGAGACAGAACTGCTGTCTCCCAGAACACACATCGGCAGGAAGCGGGGACAGAAATGGAGCGGGGCTCGGACCAGGCAGTCCAGCAGGGGACGCAGGTGTCACGAGACGCCCCTTAATGACAGGGGACACAGGTGTCACAAGACGTTCCTAATGGCCACGTCAGACACCTGGCTCCAGTCTGGCTTCTGTTCTTCCTCCCTTCAATCTCTGCTGGGGTGGGTGCAGTACAGAATTCTAGGCTGGAAGTGTCTTCCCACGGTCAAGGTGCTGTCCCACTGTCTTCCAGATGACACGTGGCTGCTAAGCCCGAAGCCAGCCTGGTTCTGATCTCTGCAGACCACCCACCAGCAGCCCCTTTCTGGAGGCGGGAGAAACGTAGTTCAGGAAATCTGAAGCTGGCGTTCCTCACCGGAGGTCTATTTTTCCCACTGTGCGGGCCCCTGGGTGGCCTTTAGAGCGACAGGCGGCGTGCTTGGGGACAACGCCTCCTCCCCTGGGGAGCAGAGTGCACGCTGGGCTCCCGGCCCCGTCCCTGCCTCATTTTTCTATCCCGATTCCATCCTGCCATGGGCTCTACTTTCCAAGAGAGTTTCTCAACTTCAGCCAACCCTTCTTTAAATCATTTCTGCTAACATCATTTTTAATTTTGAAGCATTCCTTTTATTTTCTGAATATTCACTGCTTAGAATATTTAAAGGCAGAGTTACCAAGATAGATAACTAGAGAGAGAGGGGGTGGGGGGAGAGATCTTCCAGCTGCTGGTTCACTTATCAAATGACTGCAATGGTCTGGGGTGGGCCGGGCTGAAGCCAGGAGCCAGGAGCTTCTTCTAGGTCTCCCACATGGGTGCAGGGGCCCGGGCACTTGGGCCATCCTCCGCTGCTTTCCCACGTGCATTAGCAGGGAGTTGGGTCAGAAGTGGAATGGCTGGGTCTTGAATTGGTGCCCGTATGGGATGCTGGCGCTAGAGGTGGCAGCTTTACCCGCTATGCCACAGCGCCGGTCCCGGATGCCAATCCTGAGAGTGGGACACCCAACAGCCCAATGGGAGGCTCTGGACTGAGGCTCTTCACTGCAGGGCGCTCTGCCCAGGGTTTGGTCTGGAGACCCCCAGTGTCACTCTCTGGGGTCTTCCCTCTTGGTCTGCTCAGCCTCCTCAGAGGAATCCACGCTCATCTCCTGCCCAACAGCACAGGCCTGAGAAAGCACCTGGAGCTGAGGAGGAAAGAGCGTGCTCACAGAGGCTGTGTCCTGCCCGGCCCGCCCAGCTGAGGGACCTGTGTTTTGACGCCTCGGGGGTGTTACCAGGCCAGGGAAGGCAGGCTGAGCCTGGGGCTGCGTTTTGCCACCTTCAGCCTGCTCTCCCTGAGCTGCCTGCTTTACTCCTACTTCCCAGGGCACCTGCACTGCTAACTCCCATGCTCCTGGGGACCAGGGACAGCCCTGGGCCAGTCACTGGCCTCCCCGTCTGTTAAGTCCCTATCACAGGCCCATCTGCTTCCAACTTTCCAAATGGCCGGCTGTGGTCAGTTCTCTCCATCCTGCAGGGTTTACGCCCTTGCAAACACAACACCTCTGTGCACCGCTGTGTGGTCATTTCAGGGGGATTTCAAGAGTGTGAACGCAGGGCTGGTGCTGGGGGCGGCAGGTTGAAGCCCGGCCTGCAGCACTGGCGACCACATGAGCGCTGGTTCCAGCCCTGGCTGCTCCGCTCCCGACCCAGCTCCCTGATAACGCACCTGAGAAAGCAGCAGAGGACGGCCCAAATCCTTGGTCCCTGCACCCGTGGGAGACCCAGGAGCAGCTTCTGGCTCTTGGCTTCTGATTGGCTCAGCTCTGGCCATTGCAGCCATTTGGGGAGTGAACCGTGGATGAAAGACATCTCTCTCTCTCTCTCTTTCAAATGAACAAAATAAATATTTTTTTTTAAGAGTGTGGAGGAGATGCCTATTCCCAGGGGACTGTAGCGGTGGGGCAGGGCGACAGAGGCCCTCTGACCTCGAGGCACTGAAGCGCCAGGCGCGCGAGGTGGCCGGCGTGTGGCGGGGCCCACACGGAGCTCGGGCTGGGGACTGTCCGTTTTGCTGCACTGTTTTTTCATAGAGCATTAAGGTCTCTCTCACCGATTCTTTCACATGGCTGCTGATTCTATGAAAATCAAAACTGCTTGTTTGAATTCACGTTCACCCAAGAATTCTAGAATCTTCAACTCAGCCCCCCCCCCCCTTTAGTACCATGAGAAGGTTTCCAAGAATCAAATGATTATAATACTCTAGATCCCTTTTCTACTACAGGCACACAGCTGCCTACTCTGTAAGCGCTCAGGGGACAAAATTCAGCCATTGGCCACTTGCAGAGGACGTGAAGTCTCTCTGACAAGGGAGGACGGAGCAGAATAGTTTCTGTACTTCTGGTTGTGGTTTCCTGGAAACACTAAGTCTATTCACAGAGACCAGCGGGGATGGCTTTTCATTCTTTTTTTATCTGACAGGTAGAGTTATAGACAGTGAGAGAGACAGAGACAAAGGTCTTCCTCCCATTGATTCACTCCCCAAATGGCCGCTACGGCCGGAGCTGCGCCGATCTGAAGCCAGGAGCCAGGTGCCTCCTCCTGGTCTCCCATGCGGGTGCAGGGCCCAAGCACTTGGGCCATCCTCCACTGCCTTCCCGGGCCACAGCAGAGAGCTGGCCTGGAAGAGGAGCAACTGGGACAGAACCCGGCGCCCATATGGGATGCCGGCACCGCAGGCGGAGGATTAACCAAGTGCGCCACGGCGCCGGCCCGGGGATGGCTTTATAGAAAGACAGAAGCCAAGCCGGCGAGAACTCAGAACCGTCACCCCTGCAGAAAGGAGCGCAGGGCTCTCCGTCCACGCCGCCGAGCTGACCCTTCCTCTGAAAGTACTGAGCTTCGAAGCTCCGTGAAGAAGCTCCAGTGCTAACTGCTGCTCTGGATGAACCCTGCACACAGAGAGTACACCAAATGATTGTCTTGGCGGAGACAGATTAAAGACCTCACTGGCACGAGCAAACGGGTTCGCGCCTGCGATCTGCCTGTGTGTGGAGAGAGCAGCCGCTCAGCCACGCGCGGCGATCACACGGCCCGCGGCGAGCGGTGGGCACGGCGCTCATGCTTAGCGTCCTCAGCTGCAGACCAACAAAGAGGAGACGGATTCCGGCCGGGAAGGGCCCGAGCCTTAGAGCTGCCACCCAAGTAGGAAACAAGAAGCTTAGAAATTAAAAAGCGAAATGAGAATTGTGGGACAGGACCTTTCCGACCTTCCTGACCTACGCTTGGGGGCTTGTCTGAAGACCAGATAAACTGACTGCTTCCTGCAAATACCGAGATAGCAAGCCCCTGGAGGCCAGGCCAGCGGCAAACCCCACAGCGGCCACTCTGTCCTCCTCTGATTGCAGATGATTAACAACACCTGCAAGGACGCAGCTCTGCGTCCTACAGCCTCACCCTGCACCTCGGAGGGACAGAACC